AATTCTGCTGAGAGGCTGAAGAGGATGAAGACTGAGAATTTACCCTTTGATCTGGCAACATAGAGGTTGTTGTTGATCTTGACAAGAACTGATTTCATAGAATGAGCAGGGGAGTTTGAACTAGTGAAAAACTGAAGCCTTATTAGAGTGAGTGAAGGGATAATTAGAGGTGAAGAAACTTCTATTTAAAGTAGTTTTATTATTAAGAATAGCAGAGAAATAGGGCCATGTTGTTGTTAGGTGCTGTTGAGTCAGATCTAACCCATAACAACCCTATATACAACAGCATGAAACCCTGCCTAGTCCAGTGCCACAGTGCCATCCTCACAATCAATGCTATGCTTGACCCCAATGTTACAACACCATGTTGGTCCATCTCAATGGAAGTTGTGGTGGTTATGTTTGTGTGTCAATTTGGCTGGGCCTGGTTGAGTGACTGGGAAGCTGGTGGTAGTTATTCCCCATGATGAGACTGGCAATCAACTCCATGGTGGGATCTACCACAAGCAGCTGAGTAGCTGCCTTTGGGATGTGGTCTGCTTCCTGCATTTAAGGAGAAGCCTTGGGAATGGGCTCTAGCCTTTGGCACGCTTGGACCCTGCATGTAGCTGTGTCGTTGCTCAGCAGCCTGCTATGCTCTGCCGACCTTGGGACTTACAGTGGACTTAAGTTAATGGCCTGCTGTGTGGATTGGTAACATCGGGACTGTGCCTTTTTCCTGGTCAACCTTGGGGCTTCTCAGCCTCAGCAGCCAACAGCTATCTGAGTGAAGAAATGCCTCTAGTTCCAGTGGGCCGGGAGCAGGAGGCAGAGCTGGACCCCAAGGTTGAGGGGCTTTCACCCAGCCCCTAGAGCCTGGCACTTTGAACTTGGACTTAAAGCCTCCAAATTGTAAGAATAAACTCCTGTTTATTAAGGCCATCCCATTTGTGGTATTTTCTTGTCAGAGCGGCACTAGGTAACCAGAATAGAGATCTTCATATTTTTCACTGATCTTCCACTTTACCAAGCATTGTATCCTTCACAGGGACTGGTCTCATATGATAACATGACCAAAGCACAGGAAACGAAGGCTGGCCATTCACTCTTCTAAGGAACATACCGGCTGCACTTCTTCCAAGACAGATTTGTTTATTCTTCTGGCAGTCCACATTATATACAATATTCTTCACCTACATTTAAATTCAAGTACATCAACTCTTCTTCAGTCTTCCTTATTTATTGTCTAGCTTTCACATATACACAAGCTATTGAAAATACTATAGCTTGGATCAGGTGCAAATTAATCTTAAAAGTAACATCTTTGTTCTTTAACACTTTAAAGAGGTCTTTTGCAGCAGATTTGCCCAGTGCAGTATGTCATTTGATTTTTTTTTTTTTTTTGACGCTGCTTCTATGGGCATTGATTGTGGGTCCAAGTAAAATGAAATCCTTGAAAGCTTTAATCTTTTCTCCATTTATCATGATGTTGCTTAATGGTCCAGTCATGAGGATTTTTTTTCTTTATGTTGGAGTGTAATCCATACTGAAGGGAGCAGTCTTTGATTTTCATCAGTAAGTGCTTCAAGTCTTCTTTACTTTCAACAAGCAAGGTTGTGTCATCTGCGTATTGCAGGTTGTTCATGAGTCTTCTCCAAACCTGATGGCATGTTCTTCTTTATATACTACAGCTTCTCAAATTATTTGCTCAGCATTACAGATTGAACAAATATGGTAAAAAGATACAACCCTGATGCACACCTTTCCTGATTTTAAACCATGCAGTATCTCTTTATTCTGTTTGAACAACTGCTTCTTGGTCTGTGTCTCTACACAGTTTCTTCATGAGCACAATTTAGTGTCCTGGAATTCCCATTCTTCCCAATTTTATCCATAATTTGTTATCCACATAGTTGAATGCCTTTGCATAGTCAATAAAACATAGATAAACATCTTTGTGGTATTCTCTGCTTTCAGCCAAGATCCATCTGACATCATCAATGATATCCGTCATTCCAAGTCATCTTCTGAATTTGGCTTGAATTTCTGGCAGTTCCCTGATGTACTGCAATTGTTTTTGAATTACCTTCAGGAAAATTTTACTTTCATGTGACATTAATGATATTGTTTGATAATTTCCGCATTCTGTTTGTTCACCTTTCTTTGGAATGGCTACAAATAAGGATCTCTTCCAGTTTGTTGGCCAGGCAGTGGTCTTCCAAATTTCTTGGCATAGATGAGTGACACTTCCAGCATTGCATTCATGTGTTGAAACATCTCGAAGAGTATGCTATCCATTCCTGGAGCCTTGTTTTTCACCAATTCCTTCAGTGTAACCTGGACTTCTTCCTTCAGTACCATCAGTTCTTAACTATCTGGTACCTCCAGAAATGGCTGAACACTGACCAGTTCTTTCTGGTACAGTGACTCTATGTATTCCTTCCACCTCTTTTTACACTTTCTGCATTGTTCAATATTTTGCCCATCGGAAAACAAAACAGAAAAAAAAAAAAAAAACCTGCCATCAAGTTGATTCCAACTCACAGTGACCCCCACAGAGTTTCCAAGGCTGTAAATCTTTGCAGAACCAGACTGACACATCTTTCTCCCTCAGAGTGGCTGGTGGGTTCAAACTGCTGACCTTTTGGTTAGCAGCCCAATGCCTTAACCACAGCACCTGCAGAGCTCCTTATTTTGCCTATAGAATTCTTTAATATTGCAACAAAAGGCTTGAACTTTTTCCCAGTTTTTTCAGCTTGAGAAATGCCAAGTGTTGTCTTCCCTTTTGATGTTCTAACTCCAAGTCTTTGCACATCTCATTATAATACTTTACTTTATCTTCTCGAGCCACCCTTTGAAATCTTCTGTTCATCTCTTTTACTTCTTCATTTCTTCTATTAGCTTTAGAGCAAGTTTCTCAGTCTCTTCTGATATCCATTTTGTTTTTTTCTTTCTATTCTGCCTTTTTAATGACTTTTTGCTTTCTTCATGTATGATGTTCTTAATGTTATCCCATGACTCATCTGGTCTTCAATCATTGGTGTTCAGTGTGTCAAATCTATTCTTCAGATGGTCTCTAAATTTGGGTGGGATAGAATCAAGGTCATATTTTGAGTCTTGAGGTGAGGACTTGCTTCAATTTTCTTCAGGCTCAACAAAAACTTGAGCAATGGATGGTTTCTTCCACAGTTGGTCCCTGGCCTTGTTCTGAGTTAGGATATTGAGCTTTTCCATCATCAATTTCCACAGATGTAGTTGATTTGATTCCTGTGTATTCGATCTGGTGAGGTTCACATGTCTAGTCACATTTATGTTGTTGAAAAAAGATATTTGCAATGAATAAGTCATTGGTCTTGCAAAATTCTATCATGTGGTCTCTGGCACCATTTCTATCATCAGGGCTGCATTTTCCAAGTACTGATGCATCTTGATTGCATTTTTGGTCAATTTAGACTGGAATTTGGTGAAAATCTTCAATTTATTTACCTTTGACTTTAGTGGTTGATTTGTAAATTTGAATAATAGCTATATTAACAGGTCTTCCCTGTAGGAATATGTGTATTATCCTATCACTGATAGCAATGTACTTTAGAATAGATCTTGAAATGTTCTTTTTGATGATGGATGTGATGTCATTCCTCTTCAATTTGTCATTCCCAGCATAGTAGACCATATGATTGTCTGATTCAAAATGGCCAATACCAGTCCATTTAAGCTCACTGATGTTGATCTTTATGTGTTCCATTTCACTTTTCCCAACTTCCAATTTTCCTAGATTCATATTTTGTACATTCCACAGTCTAATTACTAATGGATATATGCAGCTGTTTCTTCTTATTTTGAGTTGTACCACATTAGCAAATGAAGGTCTTCAAAGATTTACTCTATCCATGCCATTAAGGTTGACTCTACTCTGAGGAGGCAGATTTTCTGCAGTCCTATTTTGAGTGCCTTTCAACCTGAGGGGTTCATCTTCTGGCACTCTATCAGAAAGTGTTTTATTGCTTATTCATAAGGTTTTCAGTGGCCATTTTTTTTTTTTTTTTTCAGAAGTAGCCACATCCTTCCTAGTCTGTTTTGTCTGAAAGCTCCACTGAAATCTGTCCACCATGGGTAACCCTGCTGGTATTCGAAATACCAGTGGCATGGTTTCCACCATCACCGTAACCCCACACAAGCCACCACAGTATGACAAACTGACAGATGAGTGGTGGAATGGGGCCACACGGTTATTTCAAGATGGATGATCTTACAGCCTGTTTGTTTGCTGACGGGAATGATCTTGTAGGGAGAGAGATACTACTGATACAAATAAGGAGGGAAATTTCAGATGATCTCCTCAAGGTTTAGGGTTGATAGATATTTCTTTACTACTTAGAACTGTTTCAGGAGCATTTTAAGCTAAGTACACAGTAGATATTCAATAAAATCTTGTTAAATAGAATTGAATCAAGTGCTTTCACTCTTAAGTCATTCTCACTATGTCAATCCCAAGTACTCTAGAATGAACATTGTATCTGACACAAGAAATAGCTGTTTATATCTTGATGTAAATAAAATATGGACCCTTATATCTAGAGTACAACTCTCTCCAGAGACCCATTTATTCATGTATTCTATGATTCATTCAATCAAACCATAGTTTATGATTGATCATCACCTATGTGCATTAATTCTATTCTGGACACAGAATGGGTAAAAAAAAAAAAAAAAAAAGTCTGACAGTAAGGAGGTGAACAAATGAGCTTGGGTTTTTGCTAAGATTTAAATGTCTTTTATCTCAAGAAAATGAATGAAATTCATACCTGTGTTCTATTTTTTACAGTAGGACTTTCAGAGGGAAGAGTTTCAGAGGGAAACTCTTCTTTTGAAGGCTATCATTTCACAGCATAATTGAAAATATTTCATTCTGACTAGTATTAGGGCTAGAAAGAAACAGGATTTACCAAGCATGATAAATCTTTCCAGAAAGCAGACATCTCATGTAAAGTAACTTCCCCCTTTTTCTCCTGTTTGGCCAGGTTGTGACAACATGCTGATGGGGATAAAGTCTTTGAAAATAGTGAAGAAAACTATGGACACAGATGGCTCTTGGATAAAAGATGCTGCCAGCAACTCTCCAAAGGTTTATATCTTAATTGGGTCCAGAAACAACACTGTTTGGGAATTTGCAAACACACGGGCATTTGTGGAGGATACCACCAAGCCAGCCCCCCGGAAGTTAAGCCTAACGCTTTCGTGGCAGGGAACAGGCCAAGTGATCTACAAAGGTTTCCTATTTTTTCACAACCAAGGGACTCTCAATGAGATAATCAAATATAATCTGCAGAAGAGAACTGTGGAAGATCGAATGTGGCTCCCAGGAGGGGCAGGCAGATCATTGGTCTACCAGCACTCCCCATCAACTTACATTGACCTGGCTGTGGATGAGTATGGACTCTGGGCCATTCATTCAGGGCCAGGCATCCATGGCTATTTGGTCCTCACAAAGATCGAGCCTAGTTCACTGGGAGTGGAGCACTCATGGGACACTCCCTGCAAAAGTCAGAATGCCGAAGCCTCATTCCTCTTGTGTGGGGTTCTCTATGTAGTCTACGGTTCTAGTGGTCATGGGCCCCATCGCATCACCTGCGTCTATGATCCTCTGGGCACTGTCAGTGAGGAGCATCTGCCCAACTTGTTCTTCCCCAGGCGGCAAAGAAGTCACTCCATGATCCATTACAACCCCAGAGATAAGCAACTCTATGCTTGGAATGATGGAAACCAGATCCTTTACAAACTCCAGACAAAGAGAAAATTGCATGTGGAGTAAAACATGATGGCTGGGAGGGAGTGCACAATGGCCTTGGAAGCTGCTCTCCAGGACTCTGAGGCCATAGTCCCTTCACATTATAGCATCCCTCTAACTACATATAGGAATAGGGGGCTAGAGGTGGGAATGCCATCCTTTCCCAGGGGTCACTGCTTTAGATATCTTCCAAGAGTTTAGATGAGAATCTATCATTCAGAATTTTCCAACTTCTATTACCCATCTAAGCCGCCTGGCTTTCAAGGCCTTCCACATTCTGATCCTGCTTGCTTTAAGCCTTTCCTTTTAATGTTCTCCGTTTATTCTAACCTCTCCTCTGAGCAATTAGAATTGTATGACATTCCCTTAATACTCAATGGTTTTCCTCTCTTCTTGCCTTTGTTCAAGCTCTTATCTCTTTCTCAGATCCTATTGATATTACTTTTTCCATTGCCAATTAAAGTGCTATTTCTTATTGATGTTTAATCTCTATCTTGCCCAGCCTTGCCCTCCACTAAATCAGGGTGATGTAATAATAGAGTAATAACATTAACATTTGAATACCATCCTCCAGTTATAGAGAGTTTGCACATATGTCATATCATTTCACTCTTACTCACTCTGGCGATATTTGCAGAACAAGTCTTAAAATTGCCATTTTAGAGATGAGAATTTAATAAAGTCATTCATAGTAACACAGCTGTAAGTGAAAGAGGTAGAAAATACTGCAAATCCCATAGGCTTCCCATTACCCAGTGAAGCCTCAAATACATATTTGTTCTTCCACACTATTATAAACAATATATTCATCATTTCAGCCCAAAAATAATGGTCTTCCCCTTTAGCCAGTTTTCATGTCTGCACAAGACCTTCCTATAGGCAGTTCAAAGTCTACTTTATCCAGAAGATCAGCCTAAGGAGTAAACCTCACCTTCTAGCCTCATCTTATCTTATAGTCCCCTTCTTGCTTTAAATACAATAAAACTGACACTAAGCAAATTAACCTCATGAGGTTATATTTGCCTATATACCCTCAGAATAAAAGATTTCAGGGAGTGCTGCCTGTGTTTGGGTTTACTGTGAGCAATTCCCAACACACTGAGACCCTTGGCAAACATCCTGCAATTGGATGAATGCCAGCTAGCAGGCAAGCACGCTCCCTGCCACAGCAGGCCTGCCATGTGGCACAGGGGCCAGAGCAGAGCTGTGCCTCTCAAGGGGGGCTTCTTCAAAATGTTTCCCATGCACTTATCCAGTCCAGCTGAGTCTGGGTCACAAGTGCAGGCTGTGGTGCCAGTTTATGTCATGTGCTGAGGCCATGACATGCCTTTCCAGGTTGGTCACATGAAAGGGTTTGCTTTGTGTGTTTGCAGCTGTTTTCCATCTCTGCCAAGCTCAGGCTAGAATCATAGGCAGGGAAGAGAGGTTTGTTTGTTCCCCCTTCCCCATAACACTGAATAGATCTTTGGCAGAATGGAATTACCCACCTCGTGGATATAGCATCATTATCTATAATTCTAATAAAGTGAAAACCCAAATCAAACCCACTGTCTTCAAGTCAATTCAGTCTCATAGTGACCCTGTAGGACAGAGTAAAACTGTCCCATCAGGTTTCAAGGCTATAAATCTTTACAGGAACAGACTGACACATCTCTATCCTGCAGAGCAGCTAGTGGGTTTGCATTGCCAACTTTGAGTTAGCAGCTGAGTGTTTAACCACTATGCCACCAGGGCTCCTTAATAAAGTGATAGAGCCCAAATCCTTTGTGGATTGAGACACATATGAATAAATCAACATATTATCCACTCGGTGGGTTTAGGGACATTATCTGCCCCATGAGTAAAATGACATCTGTTTCACATGAATGAGGAATGTTGTGTGCCTTGTAGATGAGGATAGAGTGACATTAGCAGCAAGCACAAGGCCTGTGTACATAATTTTTTTGCAGGCATAGAGGTACAGGCAGGCTATAATGTGCTTTGATTTGACAGATCTACCGAACATACCTGCCCCTAACAATCTGCCCTCGTGCCTTAAATTCCTGCAGCTATAATCACTCTTTGAGTTTACACATTTTCTCCAGGAAGCCCCTTTCAATATATCACTGTGCTTCCTGGTACCCAAGGCAGGAAAGGGATAGCATGCAGGTCTTTGAAACAAATCTTGGGCTTCTTTTAGGTGAATGTTTTGGCTCTGGGGTCTTTTGTTGGACTTTGGTGAGGATGAACATCCCTATGATCTACACCAGAGGTTCTTGAACTTTGCTGCAGGTAAGAATCACTTGTGGAGATTTTTAAAATCCTGATGCCTAGTTCATGCCTTCAGACCACCACCTCTAGCACTGGGCCCCAGACATCAGTGTTTTTTAACTAACCTTCCCCTCTCACCCAGATAGTTTCAAAGTGAAAATCAGTGTTTTATACCATTTTATTTTTATACTTTTTGAAAGTAATTATTATAGTTCTAAGGTCAAGTTAGCATTTTCTGGGGGCTAGGGTCCACTGGGGCATTAACATGGGGTATGGAAACACTCACGAACTCCTATGAACTGTGGCAGCCTTGGTCCACAAAAGCCTCTGCTATTTTAAGGAAGTGAAAGAACTGAAGGGTGTCCTGTTGTAACACAACTCTTGTGGGCCTCAGCCTTCCTCTGCTGGCTTTGCCCTTGGCCTGCTACTGGCCAAGTTCCTGCAGTGACCACACATCCCATAGTTGCCAGAATGGCTTAAGTTCTGTTCACATGTAAAAGTCTTCTAGGCACACTGGTAATTTCAGACCACAAGGGTCTATTTGGTTTGCAAAAAGATGTGTCCTTTGGAGTTCACTAACACTGCAGCCTGTAGAGATGTATATACAAACAGGCCAGGGCTGTGGTGACTCCTGCCAGTGCTGGAGACTCTGCTAGACTCCTTGGTGTCTGTGATGTCTGAGACCCACAGGGATTTTACTCAGCTGAACTGAGGAGCCAAACCTTGGAGGTTCAAGCCAGGCAGCAACCTAAAAGTACAGCCAAAGGGAATTCAGGCCACAGAACGGTAGGTGTTGAACTAGATCTCCAGGGCCCAGTTCTGCCTTATTTCCAGAATCCATTCCTGTGGTCAGACTTCTACAAAGATTCTTGGGCAGAAAGGAAATCCCACCTTGGTACCAGGAGCAGGGAAGCAGTTGTTTTCAGCCGGCTCTAGTTGGCACCGACCACTAGAGGGAACCTCCACCCCACGTCTCAGGGTTCTAGCACAGCCAGGCCCTCAGTGACCTGCACTGTCCAATCTGGGAGACTCAGAAAGTAAGGAATGAGGCAGCCCCCAGGCCAACCTGAGTTTCAACTCTATCACTGGGGGCTGGGGAAATCCGGAAGCCTGATGGCTTGCTGCTCTGGGTGTGCCTCTAATCCAGGTTTTCTTTTACTTCTTTCTCTATGCAATTTTTGTCACAAGTTCCCTTACTGGTTCCTAACATTCATCCCCTGCAACAAGGGAGCTTGACTAGAGAAGCCCAAAACTAAAACAAAACCTACTCCTATCGAGTTGATTCCGATTCTCTCTTTGGGTCTCCAAAGCTATAAATCATTACGAAAGAAGACTGGAACAGCCGACCCTTTGATTAGCTGCTGACTGCCCTAACCTCTGCGCCAACAGAGAACCACGAATGCTGACAACTGCCCAGGTGCCTCCCTGCAGCCGGAAGGGTGCGGAAGCTGGCGGTACATCCAACAGCACCCGGCTCTAGTCGAGGGGCCGTGGCCTGTGGAGAGAGGCGGGGCTTGGGGCCAGGACTCGCTGCGCGGCTGAGGGGGCGGGGGTAGGCTCGAGGGGGCGGGGTTGACGAGGCAGGTCCTGGAGGCGGGAACCCCGGGCCCGCAGGTCCTAGTGGGTGGTGTCCTGCCTGAGAAGGGAGAGAATGGCAGAGGGGCGGTCCCAGGGGTGAGGAGCGGACGCTCCAGGACGAGCCTCCCGCGGGTCCCCGCCCCGGTCACGTGGGCGACGGACCCGGCCGCTGCCGGTCGGTCCGCTGGTTGGTTGGTCAGTTGGTCCGTGGGGTCAGTGGCCTGAAGCTCGGTTCTCAGCTCTCACGTTCTGAGGTGGGAGGGACACGGTAGCAGCCCGCACACCTGAGTCGTCCTGAGAGGAGCCGCAGCTCCGCACCCAGGTCAGTGGGCTCCCTACACTCTCCCGGGCCCGCCGCGCCGTCCCGACTGAAAGCCCCGGCAGAGGCATTGCCTGGGGAACGGAGTGGCCCCAGGTCCAGGAACCACTTGGGACTTGGGAGTCAGTGTCAGTTTGGGCCCGAGCGTGTCCTAGGCGCGACGTCGAGCACTTACCGCCCCCCCCCCCCTTCTCTGACAACGAGACTGGGAAGAGGGCACAACTCCTGCGGATTTGCTCAGAATCTCCACCCGCGCACAGTCCGCGTCCCTACAGGTGCCAGGATAGCCCGGGCGATGCAGAGGATGGTGGGTCGCCTGAGAGTTCTGTGTGCGGGTTTATCAGAGCTCAGCTCACCCAGCGGGAACAGGAATGTAATCTAGAGAGCTCAGGGTGGTCTTACGACCTATTTGCCCAGGCAAACCTCAGTTTAGACCAATTCTATATTGTAGTTACAAAATTACAAAAATACAACATGCTTTTCAAAAAGTCCATCCTCAATATCCCAGTAGACTGCAAGATGACCATGGTCCTATTTGAAAACAAGCCCCCCCCCCCATGAGAACCTAAATCCAAACCACAGTTTTTCCTCAAATGAAGATAAGGAGATTATAAATTTAAAGACTAGAACTTCCAAAGTTTGGTTGAAACAGGCATTCTAGCAATGTTTAATCCTCTTAAAAATATCAAAAGTATTTTTACTTTTAAACCAGCTAGGTTTTTGGTATAGGTCTCTCTTCCTTTCCATCTTTATTTAGCTCTGGTAGCATAGTGGCTAAGGCACTTGACTGCTAACCAGAAGGCTGGCGGTTCAAACCCACCAGCCACTCCTCGGAAGGAAGGTTGGGCAATCCTGCTTCCGTAGTGATACTGCCTCGGAAACCCAAGGAGAGGTCGCTATGAGTCAGGGCTGACTCGACGGCACATAACAACAACAACAACATCTTTCTCTGGGGAGCTCTGGTAGCCTAGAGCCTAAGGCATTTGACTGATAACCAGAAGGCTGGCGGTTCAAACCTATCTCTGTAGAGATACTGCCTTGGAAACCCCAGGAGGGGTTGCTATGAGTTGAATCCACTAGACGGTAGTGAGTGAGTGAGGTTTCCCTTTCCATCTACTCCCATTTCTTAACTGATGATACACAAATCTGAAGTGTTTCCAAATTTTATGCTGTGTTTTATGAAGTTATACTATATGAAAAAAAAAGTTATAACTATGGAAAAGTGGTTGACTGTAGACATAATTCATCTTCAACATTCTCAGTCTTAGATTATTATTGGTACATTGAAAACACAAAAGGTTATGTGATTTAGAAATGATTTCTCTTGGGTCTAAGAGAAGGGCCCCATTTGCATGCTACTTAAATTCATATTTAAATAACTTTGAAGTGGAGAAGGGGAAGATTGGTGAGTTTTCCACTTATCGCATGCATTTATGATTTAATTGAAAACATTTTAATTATTAATATTTTGAACTTTGATGATGGGCTGTTGTTGTTATTTGCTGTCAAGTCGGACATGACTCATAGTGACCCCTCCTTGGGTTTCTGAGGCAGTATCATTATGGAAGTAGATTGCCCAACCTTCCTTCTGAGGAGTGGCTGGTGGGCTTGAACCGCCAGCCTTCTGGTTAGCAGTCAAGTGCCCATGATGGGCTAGTTATTAGCTTATTAGCCACTGCAGGGAGGAGGTGAGTACTGTGGTCTCTTCTTTTTGGGGATGGGTAAGACAGGTGCACTATGACTTTAAACCAAGTAGAATGACAAATGAAGAGAAGGTAGGGGTAAAGTGTTATGGGAATTCCTGTCATTTGTCAGTGCATGGAACATCTGGGATAATTTCAAGGAAAAGGAGGTGACATTTGTAATGGACCCAAGGATTTCTCCTGGCTGTCTCCAGAGATGGATAGAGCATGACCTGGCCTCTGAGAGCTGTGTAGTCAGGAAAACATGCGCTAAGGGGAGAAGTGGTGAGTGGTCCAGTTTGGCTCCTGTGGTAGACAGTAAAGCTGGTGATGAGGATGAAACTTGGTCCTGGCAGCCCGTGAAAGTCTGAACATTGAAGGCATGGGGGCCAAGGATGGGTTTTAACACGGAGTTGATTGATGGTCAGGAAGCTCTGGTAGTTAAGGCTACTAACCAAAAGGTCTGTGGTTTGAATTCACCAACCACTCTGGGAGAAAGATGAGGCAGTTTGTTTCTGTATAGATTTTCAGCCTTGGAAACCCAGTGAGGGCAGTTTGGCTCTGTTTCATATTGTTCCTATGAGTTGGAATTAACTCAATGGCAGTGGGTTTGGATTTTCAGTTTGATTGATTGTCTTTGAGCTTCTCAAAGTCAGAGACCTTGGCTATGTGAATCTCCTCCTCCCAGCCTACTACAGTAAAACCTGTGAGAGCTGAAACTCGATGGGACTGCCTTGTTTTTCTGAGTCTTTCACGTTTTCTGCCTTTGGCAGGATGCAGTCCTACCATTTTTCTATCACTATTAGTGGAAAATATTTGAGATTTCCTTTGCTGACAAATTTCTGCCTTACACAGGATCCAGCTTACACAAATTTTACTGTATATAGCAAAACTGGTCAATATTTTTTGTGGGATGAATGGGCAAGCAAAACTTTAGGACAGTGCTTTTCAAATTTTAACTTTCACTTTCAGATCTTGATAAATTGCAAATTCCACTTCAGTAGGTCCTGGGTGGGACCTGAGAGTCTGCATTTCATTTCTTTTTAAAAATATTTTATTGTGTTTTTGATAAAAATTTACACAGCAAGTTAGGCTCTCATCTAACAATTTCTGTACGTATTGTTCAGTGACCTTGGTTACATTTTTAAAGATAAATAAGCATTCTCATTATTTCCATTCTGGTTGTTCTATTTCCATTAATCTAGCTTCCCTGTCCCTCCTTGCCTTCTCATCTTTGGTTAGGGTAAATGTTTGTTGTTTGGTTTCTTTAGATGCTTATTTAGAGGAGCATGGTACTCATAAAACTCACTACTAGTGAGTCGATCCGACTCATGGTAATCCACCCTGGGTTTCCAAGGCAGTAAATTTTTATGGAAGTAGATTGCCCCATCTTCCTTCTGCAGAGTGGCTGGTGAGTTTGAACTGCCAACCTTCTGGTTAGCAGTCAAATGCCTCAGGCACTACCCCACCAGAGCTACTTACAGTACTCATGGGTGATATTATTATTTCCTTTTTATGGCCAATCTGTCTGTCATAGGCTGAAATATTTGATTTCTAAGTTTAAGGGTATCCCATGGCAATAATCTCAGGGATTCAGCTAGTGTCAGGAATTCTGGCCTTTTTTTTAGGAAATTTGTTTTTTGATGTTTGTCATTGCGTCTGGGATCATCTATTGAGTCTCTGGTTGAAACAGTTGGTAGTAGTAGCCAGGTACCATCTAGTTCTTTTAGTCTCAAGGTTGTTGAAGCCATTGTTTGAATAGACTATTAGTTCTGTAGACTAGCTGTTTTCTTTGGGTGTTTGATTTCCTTCCTCTTTTGCTCCAGAGAAGTAGAGACCAATAGAGTTGTATCTTAGATGGCCACATGCAAGCTTTTAAGACCCTATACACTACTCACCAAACTAGAATGTAGAACATTGTCTTTATGGGCTACATTGTGCCACTGAATTGTCCTATGAGACTATGGTCCTAAGCCCTCAACCCAGTAAAATAATCCTGTGAGGTGTTTGGTTATGTCTAGGAAGTATCCATAACTATGCCCCAATGTGCTTTATTTTATAATTAAATATATATTCAGCATACATAAACATGCATGTCAATACACCTATATACATGCACATCTGTATATTCACATATGCCTTCCCATACATATATATGCATACATAACTATGTTACTATATACATTTTTAGTTATTATTGTTGTTGCAAAATTATATATCCCCCAATGAATTTTTATTTTTGACAATTTCCACACAAGTTGTACATTGAGATTAGTTACATTTATCACAATGTTTCAGCATTCTCTTTAATTTTGTCTATGCCCTTCTATTTGTGCTCTAATACTTGTCTTTACTATGGCTGTGCTGGGCTCATTACTTCCACACTCAGTGCCACTTTCCCCTTCATCAAAAGTAAAAACTCTCTATGTTCTAAAGCATAGAATGAATATTGGTTGCTCTATGTTTATCTGTTCTTGTATTCTTATAAAAGAGGGATCATACAGTATTTGTCCTTAAATGCTTAACTTATTTCACTTAACATCATGCCCTCCAGGTCTATTCATGTTATAATAGGTTTCACGATTTCATCACTGTCCTTATGTCTGCATGGTATTCCATTTTATGTATGTATGTACCAGAGTTTGTTTATCCATTCATCTCTTGATGAGCACTTCAGTTGTTTCCATTGTTTTGCTATTGTGAATAAAGCTGGAAGGAACAAAGCAGTGCATACATCTGTTTTAAACAGTACTTTTAGGTCTCTAAGGACTATTCCTAGGAGTGATAATTGCTGGATTATAAAGTAGCTCTATTTCTATATATTTTTTTGAAAGTACAGTACATACATACATAGCGGTTGTGCCATTTGCAAGAATCTGCATTTCTAACAAGTTCCCAGTTGCTGAAGGCTGGCGGTTCAAACCCACCAGCCACTCCTCGGAAGGAAGATGGCGCAATCTACTTTCGTTGTGATACTGCCTCGGAAACCCAAGGAGGGGTCTCTATGAGTCGGGTCCGACTTGATGGCACATAACAACAACAACAACATAGTAAGGCTTTAGAGCTATAGTTCACAAACCTGACTATGTGTCAGAATCATGAGGAATTTTGTAAACCTTCAGATTAAGTAGGTGGGAGATACTTTTTCGAAAGTTCCCTTAGGTGATTCTGATGACCACCAAGTAGGAAACACTGTAGTGGCCTGTGGCAGTGCTGTGTAAAGAAATAGCCAGAGGGAAAAGTCACTAGCAGTGGGAAGACCAGCCAGGAGACTGAAAGGCTAATTTAGGGTAGAAGAGATGAGGCCTTATTTTGGGTTTG